GATTTCGGCGGCGCTCGGCCGGATGTGGACGCTCGTCGCCGGGGATCGGTGGATCATGTTCATGGCGTTCGCTTCGCTCGCGATGGCTTCGGTAAATTGTTTTAGGAATTTTTTTTAAATTTTTTTGGATTGGTTAGGGTTTTGGTGGGTAATGTAAGTTTGGATTGTGTTCTGCGTTGAGATAACTAGAAGATTCTGATTGTAGAGCAAAAAATATGTTGACTGTTAGAATACAAAAATATAACCCTTTAACTCTGACCACAACTTTGGAGTTTTGGTCACATGTTAGAATATGGAGAGGGTGGAGAGGGGGTGCATGTTAGAATAACCTCAACCCTCAACACAATTTCCTTGCATAACAATATCCTATTGGGAAGGAGCATATATGCTAATGGGAAGGAGCAATGAGAAGTAGACTACAAGAGTTGTGGTAAAATTTGGCGCCTGGGTTACATAGAAACTCGTAATTTCTCATGCAATTCATGGGGGACCGCCCCCACATTCTTGTGTCATGTAGTGCAAGAGTAGTAAAACTGTGCTGTTTAGTTAACATTACTCGTTGTATGTCTTGTAGTACTAGAGTTGTACAATTCTCGTAGTTTGGAGTCTACTGAGCATTACTCGTCGGAAAGAGGTATCCTTTTTTTTAATACTAGTTATGTCTAGACCAATGACTCGTTATGAATCAACAGGTGTTCATAATCCCTTGAGGCGTCAGTCAATTGGAATTGAAAAAGTAGAAGGGTGATAAAATTTTACATATGTCCCATTTTCTCAGTTCTACTTCCAACTTTAGTTCTTACCTCTCAAATTATCACGCTTTTTTTAGTGGAATAGAGGCATATATATATAGGGAATTTAAATTACGTTGAGTCTAAATAATAAATCTTTATTAATCAATGGTAATGCAGACCTTCCTGTGCCATCACTTACACGTTAGGATCAATGTTTTGGTATTACAATTATTACAAGTTAGCTATTTAAGAAAGTTTGTCCTGATTAGCTACTTTAAAGAAATTAGAATAAAATTTCTATGCCATCAAAATAGCATCCCATTATCATATTTTTGTAGTTTCACTTTTTCCGTTTATCCCAGATTATCTCATCAAAGCCTATTTGTAATGAAATTATACCACTTGGCTAATTATCTCTATTCTAGTTGAGATGTGCCAATGGATCATGGACTGCCCATAATCCTATGACTCACAAAAGAAATAATAAACAAAATCAGATTATGCTAGGGCTGATTTTGAGTCAAACCTAACATGCATGATTGTGGATGATGGGTCATTTTTGTTTTTGTTTCCCACTACCATCTTTGTAACTGCATATTTCATATAAAGGAAGTATTCTTCTTGATCAAATGTTAGATCCAAGAGACTACAACAGCTAAGTGAGTAGATAAAATGAACTTGGTAGAAAATTGGGGCATGAGCTGCACTGCTATTTTTGGAGTGGATGATCAAAAAATTTTGAACATTGATTACTAGTTTCAATCTCAAATGGATATAAACTATGTCCCGCTCGTGCTTTCTTGCAAGTGTGTCATTGTTTAGTGTAAAGTATACTTCAAATTTATTTTAAAGATAATGTTGTTTGCTTGGTAAAATATACATACTATGCAATAAGAAACAATAGTTCTGTTGTGATTATTCAGTTATTTTTTTTGTTGTAGTTGCATGTGTTCCTTTTCTGGTATTTTCCTCATCATCTTTTCACTCTTCAATTTGTAGCTTTCAGATATATCAATACCACATTTCTTGGCAGCATCCATTTTTTCTGCACAGAGCAGCGAGACCATCACATTTTACAGGAACACAAAGCTTCTAGTTTTGTTGTGTTTTACATCTGGGATATTCAGGTTAGCATAATATCTTAGATATCATTTCTATTTTTTCATGTATATGGATTCATCAATAAACAAAACCTGTTGCACAGTGCTACCAAATTTACTTTTATGCTAGTGAAGTAATGTTAGGATAGATTATGTGATTCCGTCATGGTAACTGAGATATCATCAGTCTGACAAGCGGATATCCCTGCAAAGAAATCCTTCTGGAAGATAAAAGGCAAGTTTTCATTAAGTTGAGACGTAAGATAATACATGAAAGTTTAAATCTATTTCAACTCCATAAAGGTCTCGTAGATCTTACCTATCTTTGCTCTGCAGAAATTTTTCTTGCCTCTCCTACAGAGAAAGAATATGTTATATTTGCATTCAAAGTTCTCTCCTTCATACATTGCTTTTATTTACTTTTTCTATCACTCAATCAATGGAGGTTAATCTTTGACTAAATTAACTGGTTGTTGACCATGTTTTTCTCACTTCCATACCTTCGTAGCATGCTTTAGCTTTTTTCAATAATGTTTCTCTTCACTAGATTCTCGTGCTCTCCATGTTTCTTGCTTTGTTTTTGCTCTACTATCACCTGTCCAATTCTTTAAGAACACGAATCTCTTACTAAGGGTAGAGAATTTCGAAATCCGGAATCACATCTTATTTAATCAATTTAGTCTTATGCTGGAAGTTTCCGAGTATTATATAATGTTTCTATGATGGTCATATATCTGTGTTGAACATGTACTAACTTTTTCTGTGATGATTTTTTTAAATCGGACAATCCTCCCTTCATGGTATTTTGTCTTTCTATGTCAGTTTTCTACTTTCTCATTTCATAATGTTTCATGTTTTAAATGGGTGAACCTGTTACTCCCTTTTTCTTTTATTTTTTTTCCATGTAACTATAAGAGATCAAAGCAGTCTCTGGTGATCTGTCTCAATTTACTATTCATTGCCTTTTAGTTTCCGGCATCTTTTATCCTATCATCTGTGCACTTCCCAGAGAATGTTGCACTCTGTGATCCTGAAATGTAATTCTCTTCAGTGGTAAATGGTTCTGACAGAAAAATTTGGTCATGTGATATTCAGTGGCTTGCGGGGTTGCTGCTTTGGCATTGCAAATATGATATTGGTAACACTTGGATAGATTGATTCTTATATGTATATATTTCTGTGTATCGGTACCCATCAGTCAGAATCTGGATTTACTTTGCTAAACCTTGCAGGTTAAGCGAATGCGAGAGATGCTATACAATGCTCTCCTTTATCAGGTTCTGAGCGTATTTTCTCAATAAGTATTTCCACTGCAATTCATGCTATTGGCAGCAGCTAATCATAGCATTTTTCTCACTGCAAATTCTTCATTTTAATCCATTCAACTCAGGATATGTCCTTTTTTGATGAAGAAACAGTTGGTGATCTAACAAGTAGACTTGGGGCAGATTGTCAACAAGTATCACAAGTCATTGGATATGATCTTAATCTGATATGTCGCAATGTTCTTCAGGTTTTATATCTTTACAGGACTACTTACAGTTTTTCGAATATGGTTTCAAGTTACAACAACTTTAGGAACTCTTGTGATCTCTTTCAGGGAACAGGTGCAATAATATATTTGTTTGTCTTATCTTGGCCTCTTGCATTGTCTACATTGCTGGTATGCTCCGTCTTAGCATCAATAATGCTCATATATGGCCGGTATGGTTCTTCAAAAAATTACTTCATATTCCTGTTACCATTAACTTCCTTTTCTAGGATAAATCACTTAGCACTATTTATGCGGATTCATTTTATGTCATGCTCATTGGCCATATGACCTATTTCCTTTTTCAGAATGGTTGCACAATTACAATTAAGAATGTTCCACAATCAAGAAACAACATGTTCAAAAAGGAAATGTAGCATAAATGAAAATGTTTTGATGGATGGAGTGTGGATACACACTTAAGAAATAGAAGGGTAAGAGGTTGTTCCTATTGAGGACAAAGTGGGAGAGAACCAATCCAGGTTGCTTTGTCATGTGCAATGAAGGCTACTAAATGCATCAGTTAGGACAAGTGTTAAGATCATATGGTAAGGAGGACTGGAGGTGGGCCTAAGAGATCTTGTTTGAAAGCAATGAATAAGGATATGATAATAGTTAACGGAGCAGATAGCCCTTAATGAAACTGAATGAAAGAATAGATTTATATAGCCGACCCAAAATTGGGATAAAGATTCTGTTCTTCTTGTTGTTGTAATGGTTAGATTCTCATACAAGTAGAAAAAGGATAAGATGTGAACAATGTGGAGTCTGTCATGTGCACAGCGAAGACTTGATCATCAATCCTGTCCTCTCACCTTGATTATATTTGCTCCAACCCGCTCGCCTTACATTCTCATTTATCTTCAGGTCACTTTCTCCCATCTCTTTTGTGCTCTGTGTCAATGAGTACAAATATATTTAACCATAGATATGCTTAACTACTTTCCCGTGTATTAATTAATCTCGACTCATGGCTTTGTCTTCCAAGACCCTCACTTGTGGCTGCATGGTCATGTGACACCCCTAACACCTTCATTATTCTGTTTATTGTGCTGGTCTTAAGTACTTGGATAGTTTTTTTTTTTTTTCCTATTGGAAATGTGAAATTTCTGAGAAACATTCAGCATGCTTTCATAGTCAATCGATCATCTACAGCTTTGGTTCTTCTGATGAATTTACATACTTTGCTGAATAGGATCTCGAACCTAATTTAGTCCTCCACCTTGCTGAATAGAATCTCAAACCTAATCTAGTCCAATAACTTTATCCAAACGTTAACTGGTTAGATCATTCTTACGGCTCTTGTTGTCATTTGAAGTAGCAACTAACCTTCTGAAAGAGAAATTTCACCGCTGGAGCTATTCTCCTTGGACAATTTTGAAACATATTGGTGCTCTAATAATTGCATGAACTAATCCAAGGCTTGGGCTAGGTTCATTACATTCCTTTTTCACCTGTCAAAGATTCGTTGGCTCTATCATATCCTTCACAGATTTCCACTGTCTCCTGGGGCACGAGCCACCATGCAGTGAATTTACCACATAAAACATCAACCAGAGCATATGAGTTGAGATAATTTGAGAGGTTTCTAGTGCATCCTATCCCCATTTTTTTAACGCATATTAGAGCATGACATCTTTTTGGTTCGGTTATAAGTGAATACCTAACTATCAACCACAAAAAAGAAAATGTGAAATTCACTACTTGCCAGTCTTGATGCTTTATGGTCTGAAAATATATGGCTCTATGTTTTGTCTCCTCACTTTTCTGAAGCTCTCCCCAAAAACTGCAAAGAAAAGAAAAATAAAAGCAGATGGCTAAGAGTACGATTGTGCAGCTGGTCCAATTTGAATTTGGGCTGGTTACTTGCTACAATTTGCTGTATCCATCAAACAAATTTTTTATTTGGCATTTTCCATAATCAACAGCTACCAGAAAGCAGCAGCGAAGTTAACTCAAGAGTTCACTGCATGTTCTAATGAAGTAAGGTTATATTCTTGTTATAAGAGCATTAGCATACTGATTATATTGATGAATGCATCATGACTTTTCTTTTTTTTTAACCAATTTAATCTGGTCAGGTTTCACAAGAGACTTTATCTTTAGTGAGGACAGTCCGAGTTTATGGAACTGAGAACCGTGAATTTAGCAGGCAATATAGTCTTCTTCCACCTTATCCATGAGTGCATGAGTTAGCAACAACACTCTTTTATTGACCTATGCAACTGACATTTATAGTTAATACTGCATCATTGCAGATACCTAAAATGGCTGGAAAGATTGTTTGGAGTAAGTTTACGGCAAAGCTTCGCTTATGGATTTTGGAATTTCAGCTTCACCTTTCTATATCATTCCACTCAGGTCTCCTTTTCTCTGCTTTGAATTTTAGTAAAACAAATTATCTTGTTGAGAATTTCTTCTTTCAGAAAGAAATGTTAATAAACTTATGTGCTTTTAGCTCAGAATGAAGTTCAGTCATAACTTGAAAACAGCTTTCTTATAATATATGTTTACATTGTACATCGTATCCATATTTTGATCTTACATACTGGTATGTGTGTCATAGTTTTTCGTGTTCTGAATTATACCATTCTATGACTAATCTCTATCATTAAAACCAGTTTGTACTGAAGCTAAGATACACAAGACATTGATTATTATATTGATATGTGTAAAACAATTATCTAATCATGCGATATTCTATAAGTTAAAAATATTGGAATAACAGGTTGCCTGATGACTAGTATATTCTGCACGTGTTTTTTGCGTGCTTCCTGGTAATTAATTCAGCATTTATTATTAATATTTTATTACATTTTGGTAAATAATTCTGTAGGTTATTGCTGTGCTAATTGGAGGAATTTCTATTCTGTCTGGTCGTATAACAGCAGAGCAACTTACAAAGTTTGTTATGTACACTGAATGGTTGATCTATTCAACGTGGAGAGTGGGAGACAATTGGTCCACACTGATGCAGTCTATTGGAGCAAGTGAGAAAGTCTTCCAGTTGATGGATCTCCTGCCTAGCAAACAATTCTTATCAGAAGGCAAGTAGATTGCAACATAGGAACCCTTGTTTATATCTTCTTACTCAGGAATCTATTCACGCTGGACAAAAGAAAGACTCTTGATCTGGTTTCTTAAATGCTTAAACTATCATTTAACATATGATATTTTGTATTTCTCTATTCTCTATTATATTTTATTAACATATCCCTTTTTCTGACATTTGTTTCTATGGATTTCCATTATAATGAAACCCTTAGGTGTCAAGAGGCATTGAAGTTCTCTATGTAAAAATCCAAGATGCAGTCAATGAAATTAAGCTATCTGTGATTAAGTAAAATGAATACATACAAAGAAATGTAAAACTACTGGCTATACATGCTCAGCATTTTAGATAGTTGATTCCCTTGAAACATCTTCATGCCTTTTCCTTGGGTTTCGATACTGTATTCATTACCATTACATATGAGAACCTGCCTTATTTTTCTAAATGGACTTCTGAGTTTGTCCTTCCAAGACCTTTCTGTTCTGAATAAAACTCAAAAATATCGTACACTTCAAATATTCTGTAAAAAAAAAAACCCACCCCCACCCCACACACACAAAAACCACCACCACTACCAAAAAAAAGGAAGTTATCAATCTCTGAAATTCCTTCCTTTTCTTTCTTGTTCTTGTATTTAGTACTCTCTGAAAGTGTTTCTTTCTCTATGCGGTGATTTCGTCATTTACATTGGAACAAAGCAATGGTTGATGTAAAGGAGATTTCACTCTCTTATGATCAATATTCTTTTTGTCCATTCTTCCTTTTGTTCCCTTAAACATAAACCTGAGTTGATAAGAAACGGATTTGTTATGTTGTCATTGTCATCTGTTCCACACATTGCCAGGTTATCTGATTCATATGAGTTCAAACTCACAAGAGTGGTTAATGATACCCAAAGCACATTGCTGGTCACCTTTTGGTTAGACAATTATCTGGTAATCTGTTGTAGATATTGGTAGGAAAGTCTGTCTTAATTTTTTTATTTGGTAAGATAGTATTCAGAATTTATTCAAGGTTGACTCCAAGGTTTTCAATATTCTTGATGCTATTGGCATGCTTCCAAGTTTTACCAATAGAAGAGCTGGCCAAACTAGTCTTAAAATAACAACAGGGCCCAGTGTTATTGAGAAATAAGGTCTTGACATTGCAAACAAACAAACTTGACTTGCATTGAACAGCATGCTGTCTCGGTGCGTCCCGATTTCCCTGGTAGGACACATCTAATCATCTATTGTTCAAATTTATGTAATTGTCACCATCCAAGCTTTGCCCATTAAAATGGGTCAGGTACAGAGAAAAACTAGTAAGTTGAAAAAGCTGCATGGAGATTGACCCACTTTACAATTGTTCATCATGCCAGTATCACCATAGAGGAAGTGATGGTATCCTTGTAAATCAATAGTACCATGACAAATCCAGAAGAACTTTCATAAGCAGCCGCCAGCTTTCCTCATCCGCCCTCAATCTAGTTAAGAAGCAAAATTTTTAGACTAGTTCCTTCACAGCTTTAATAGAAAGATTGCATTCAAATAAAGGCAAGCCCAACCATATCGGAGACTAAATAGATCCCATGGCTTGTGCAAGAGCATATTGTTCCATACTGACAATTGGTTTATGAAACTGACATGGCGGACCGATGAAGCAGTTAGGTCTTGATCTAAGCTAGGCCTTATAACTCAGTTATCTTATCCTTGTTTGGATGTTCCCTAAGAGTCCATTATACGCGTCAGTCAGGTCAGTTATATTATGGGGTATTACACTTGGTTTTTTTATTAGATATTCCTTAAAAATACTTTGTCAGTAAAGATGACAGTACGAGGATTATTTGAGATCGTGCTCCCATTTGATGGCTTTGAACCCATCTAAGCCATGTTTCTGGTAGCTTTCCTATCTTGTCATACTTATTTTTCCTTTTCTCAGTATAATATTCCTCAATATTTTTGTCAGCAATTTGATTATTTGAGTGAGTGACCTCCTCATCTAATATTTGAATTAGCGATCTCCTTGCCTGCTTGAAAGGGATAAGTTTCTTTTGTTTGATGATATTTTAAACGTATGGCCTTGGACTTCCATTTAATTATTATCTAGTTTAATGTGTCCTAAGTGCTTTATTATTAAATTACAACAGGACGGAAATTGCAGAAGTTGGTGGGAAACATTGATTTTGCCAATGTATCATTCCATTATCCTTCAAGAATGACGGTATGCTTATGTATCATTGGTATCTCTTTCAATCATAATCCTTTAAGTCAATTGTACTGATATATCTCACTTTCCAGCTTACTTTGAGCTTTGCCTCTTTTCTTTTATCTTATTCTGAAATGGTGCTCAATATAAGGAGACTGAGACAATTCCCTCCCTAAACGTGTTTGGTGCTGAGTAGACAGTGTATTCGGCACCATGGGGGATGTGTGATAGTGGGTTCGGGATAGGAATGAAGTTTACTTTTGTATTGGTTTCTTGCTTTGACATTTCCAGATACAAGTGCCTCACTTAAAACAGTAGCAATATAGTAATGGATGTTTCTGATGCCATATCACTTCGGCTAAGAATTGTAATTTAGCAACAGTTAGGTCACTTTTTGGTAATACATTGGTGTCACCTGCAAGCCATCCATGTAAAATGAGCTAATCTATGCATGTCAATTAGAAGGCAAAGAAGGACCCATGTAATTTAGCAAAAAGTTAGCAAGCTGCTCTGAATATTAAAAATTGAGGAGATTCCAAACAGCATGTCAAATGGGTCAAAAGGAGTACTTGAATGAAGCCCAAAGAGCCAGTTGTGGCAGGGAAAGCTACTTTTTTAATTAGGGTGTAAAGCTTCTGCGTACAAGGAACAACAGATATGCTTCAACATTCAGGATAGTTCGGTTAAACAATTATTAGATAGTGAAATGAAGAGATTTTCTTAGCTCTGCTGTAGGTTTCCCAAAGTTGAGTTGCATCTCTAGTAGTTCCTGTAAATTATTCCCATTGATATATGTTTTCTTAGAAGTATCTGCAAAAAATGAACTTTATTGTTGTACAGAAGTTGGCGTTGTTAAATGTCTCTTCAGTTCTCCTGTTTTGATGTTTTAGATTAGAAAACTCTTTATCCGAGAGCTATCCATAGCTGAAGATGTTATTGGCGAAAGGTGAAAAATCTGTGAAGTTCAGTCTTGATCTCTGGAGTGCATCGAACTCCCTCAACTTTGGATAATTTTATTACTCTGCGTTAGTTCAGCTTCATTGAGCTCCTTAAATACAATGATTTTTTTTCTAACCTTTTTGTTTGCTGCACCTAAATTAACAAAGAAACTTGTTAGCGGGGGATTTTCTTCTATTTATTCTAGTAATTTCCTTTGTCATCTGGTATTCTCCACCATTACTGGATTTCTTGCGGATCTAGATACTAATGGGCATATTCCCAATTGCGTATGCTTTGCATCCGTAGACTTGTTTCTTACGCTCTTAAGGTATCAAAGTCCAGTTTGTGCCCAGCAAAGCAATCTCTTAGAAATTTGTGCTTATATTTTAGTATGATTATAAGTAGTAACTGTAAAATAGTAATGCTTTGAGGTTCTTGAAGTCTTAAGATAGCTGCATAGCATGTCAACATAAACCTCTTCCTGATATTGCTTTTATTGTCTTGATCCATTTTCTTACTTACCAATGGTCTTTTGTTTGGGTGATGTGTTGACAACGTAACATACTGAAACTTTGATTGGTACAAACTTTATGTTGATAATGGTTCATAGTTGTTGGTACAGTCTTTTCTGGCCAATGATGGCAATCTTGAGATTTGAAATGATAACAAATTAGCAGTGCATTTCCCTCTAGTTTCATGAAGCTCTTTGGATGGAACATCTGCTTCACTACCAAGAATCATGTTAATGTAGATCGTGCATGGTGGAGATACATTGTATGCAAAAGAAAACTTTGCAATTGCAGGCCTAGTGTTAAATTTTTATATGCTATGGACTTAAATTAAAATCAAGTGGAATCTAAATTGAATTCTTTTGCAAATCATTTTAAAAGAGTTTCAATGAATTTTATCACTCTCAATACCCAATGAGATTCTTTTACTTCAGTTCTTTAAATATATTACTAAAGGCAATGCATGATCTTTCCATATATTATATTTTCTTTATAATCAAGTTAAAGCAAGAAGGCAGTACACTGATCCGGTTCTAAATCATTATTGTTTTTTAAACAGATAGCAGCTCTGCAGCATGTGAACCTATCAATTCATCCTAATGAAGTTGTTGCTATTGTAAGTAGCTTTGTAAACATTATGCTATTTTCTAGTCGTTAACAGTCAACTGAGTGATAAACTTTTTTCTCCTTTGCCCTTTTCTGTTTGCTGGTTAGGTTGGACTTAGTGGAAGTGGGAAAAGCACACTAGCCAGCCTTCTTCTTCGTCTGTATGAACCAACTGATGGGCAGGTGAAATTTAATTCTTCAGATGATTCTCTCCTGTCTCTTGTATGTGTCCTATAAGGTTATTCTATACAAAATAGAGCATTTATATTCTCGAAGTTATATGCAACGATTAGTTGTAACTAATTATGTTGCATGCTAAGTTACACGGAAAACTCATAAAATGTAGGGTACGGGGACATGGCTACATATATATATTGAAATTAATAATTTACATGAGATCATTATTATTTTTCAATTCATGTGTTATTAGAATTAAAATTCCAATTACTTTTAAGTTTCTTTTATTATGTTGATTATTACAAGTTGGAAACTACTTGTTTTTGAACTAGACACTCAAATGACCCTTTAAAATCATAGTTTTGATTCTTTTGAACTTGGGTATGGGCTGAAACGAACCCGACTCATGTCTGACGAGTTTTAAGAAGTGGATGTGAAATATAGGATATGCGTCCAAGAAGTGTATGGTAAGAGTT